CGGCATTCACATACCAAACAAACTCTCGTTCTTTTGTTCTAATCAATCTTCATCTTTAATTGCAGTTGTGTTATTGCAGATGTATATTCTTTATTTGGTTGCTAAGAATATAATGATAGTTTTTGAATGTAGGCCTAACTGTAGCTTTTTTTCCCCCTCCCCCCCCCTCTAGTGCTTTGAGCTTTAGTGACTGACTTTCTTTTAATATCTGTGTTCTAGGTTGAGGAAAGCAGTAATGCTAACTCTGGCAAGCAAGCTGAAGCGGGATGATGGCGTCAGAGGACCCCGTACATCCAATCCAGCTTCCGATTCAACTCGGAGGGTGTCTGTTCGGGATAAATTGCTTGTTAAAGGTGAAAGGAACTTATTAAAATTTCTGGGATGTACAGTTCTCAGGTCTGTTGCCAGTGCATGTTATGAAATTTGTATAAAATGATTTTTGGAAGTATCTTTGAAATTGTTTGTGTACCTTGTATACTGTGGGCTGTATATTGGTATACCTCAGATCTACTACAGCCTCTTGCCTGTAGGAAACTTAGTTAAAATAATGCAAAACTTTAAAAGCCTCCTCTTTATTGAAAAAATAATCCATCCTTGGGAGCTGTACTGCATTATCAATTAAAACGCTGTGATAAAGCGTTGGTACATAAGTGTTACTGAGTATCTAGAAGAAGAAAGAATACCAGATATGGCTTGACAGGAAGGTAATTCTTTGAGCAAAAACATAACTTCCTGTGACAGGAAAGAAAGTCCGGAAAGTAACATCAGTGTTCTGATAGTCTTCAGTGGTATAGAGCAGAGTCAATAAACTTTCTAAAGCTTTTAAAACAGCAATGGAAAGAGATTTTTTTTTTATTTTTTCATTTTTTTTAAAGGCCTGGAGTCACTAGAGGTTGTGTAAGAAGTAGAGGATTAAGAAGAATTAATTTTTGTAGCACCAAATGGTCTGTTCTAGACCATGAAAAGCTATTGTGGCCTTCTAGAAAGGCTAGTGTAGGCTGTAACTAGCTGGCTCTGCATTGCGGGGAGAAGCATTTACTTTGCAGCAGTTCTGCATAAGCGAGGTTGTTAACAAGACTGAGTAAGTATGCTATTTTACAGTAAAATCGGGGAGAGCTCTTTTCTTGCTTTTCAGTTTTTTCTCCGATACAGATACGTATCGTAATACTTTAACGTTTAAACCTTACATTTTAAAATTCACAGGTACTAATAGTTTGCAAATACCATGGGTTTAAGCTCTGGTTTACTTCCTGCAGTAATAGTTGAACGTTTTAATGCCCAAGCTGTGCAGCTTCATCTAGTAGCAAGGTATATGTTGTTTAGGTTGATATTTCTACTCGAAATGGTCAGCAGTGAATATACTACTGTTGATGCTTAAGCTTGCACAGTTAGGGTTCATGCCATTCAGTTGAAATATTCGTGTTTCATGGTCTTATTTTGGAACAGCCTGGCACGTGTACATCTGCTTGGATGGTATTGCCCTACGAATAGCCTTTTCTGATTAGTGTAGATTCTGCTGTATTGTTGTATTCTGAGGCAAGGATTGTTTTCAGATTGTATTGCCTACTGCACTGGAGAGCATCTCGTTCTTTTCACACTCTTCTCTCACTGCATTGTTCTGAGGATTGGGAGCTTAATACACTTTAAACCCGGATGTGATAACTCTCTCAAAGAGCTTGCTTTAGGCTTTCAGTTTGGAGATTCTTATTTAACTAATTAGGGGGTGTGGGTGGGGAAGATATCAAACAAGAAGAATAAACTCTTTAACCAGGCTAAACTGCAAAGCATATAATGCTGAACTGCTAAAACATATAATCAGAGTTTTTTATTAGCCTACAAGTAGAGATTCAAGGGGAAAAAATAGCAGTGTGATGTAAATACACTTGAACTACAGTGTCTGGCATAGAAAGCGAGGTACCAGAAGAAATACGACTTAGTAAGAGCAATCGTGTTTCTCACTTCGGTGAGTAAAACCTGATTTGCGGTCTTTCTCCCCCTGCAGAGGTAAGGCATGGAAAATTAGTACTGACGTTGTTACTGCCATTACCGCCATTAGCAAACCAGAGCAGACTAAGTATTGAACCAGTTGAGTCCCAAGCTGACAAGCGCTGAAAGCAGGTCACTGCAAGCATCCATCCGACAAATGTGAATGTTATGTCAGGTCTGGCTATGTGAAAATTGTATCATGCGGCTCTCCGAAGAGGACCGCAGGAGCAGCCGTCAGTCTGTTCAGAACGGTTTTCCGGACCAAATGGGGAACTGACAGTAGAAATAGGTCGCTTCGGTATAACTACACTGAAAGCAAAGGGATAATCGAGTAGCGGTGTCCCAAAAGACTTGGGGAAAATTGTCTTTTAAGCCATACTTTTTACAAGGTGTAGGCCAATTACAAAATTGGTCAATTGGTTAATGATGAAACTTTCTAGAACTTGCTCCAGTTGTTAATAGTAGGCCAGCTGAAGCAGCATCTGCAGTGTTGAGAGCCTGTGTGAAGGGGGACTTCGGATATCGATAATTTTGAAGTCATTCTGTCTAGATCTACAGGAATGAGTTTGACAGGGAGGGAAGAGCTACCTATGAAAGGCAGACGTGTGCTGAGGCTCCTGTTGCATCTGAAGTAGTGCATGTCTTCTGCTGTTTCATCGCACAGACCTGTGCTAGCCTGTGGTGTGCTTAACTTTAGGCTGTTGTATTACGCTCAAGACAAAGTTGGTGGGAACCTGTAAGAGCAGTTGTAAGTGGAAACTGTTAGCGATGTTTGTTTAGCCTAGAGGTCTCAAACATACAGGCCACAGTTGCAGAATGGGTGGAAGGGTAAGGTCAGTCTCCTGGCAGTTATGACTTCAGTAGTATGTGTTGCGTTCATAAAGAGTCCAGTCCAGAAAGGCACAGTAGGATCTGTTTGAAGGATGCGTTGGCACACCTGTAACCCTGCAACCCTCAAATGTTTTGTGTAGAGACTTGTAAATAGATTGATGCCGTTTTGATTTAGGGGGTGGATGGCCGTGACCCCAGCCACTGATGAACGTAGACAGTGCTTACAGACTCCTGAAAACTAAATGCAAACCAGTTCTTTATGTCTCCTAACTGATATGGCCTTTATTTGGGGTGAAAAAGTGATAATCTAGGTGTGATTATAACTACTAGCACCATATGAATGAGGAAGAAATTTCAACTCCAAATTTGAAATATTATTGCCACAATTGTAAGTACATGAGCTATCAACAGAGTGTCATCAGTTGCCGTCCTTGGGTTTTGAGACGGATGCAAGCAAGATAGGCCTTTTCTTTTTCCACTTCTGTGAAAAAGTTGCTCCTAAAATACTGAGGCCCTTTGTCATTTTTTCCTAAGCTGCCTCTTTGATTGTTTACCTGTCCAGTATTAAATTCTAGTATCAGCCGTGGCCTGAGGCATGGTTTTGTCAGCCTTTTCATAGGCATAGTATGAAAAGACGATTTCTGTCCCTAAAGTTTTATAAAGGGAAGTAAATTTGAGATAGCTGGATGTTCTCTTCCAGCTGTTTTAACTCGGGGGAGTTAAAGCGGTGACTGCTAAATAGTATTTGGTAGCAGCCTTGTCCCGCTGTTGACGGCTTCAGCAAATCAGATAGCACGGCTGGGAGGTGAGCAGGGCACATCCCTCTGGGGAGAGGAGCACGCAGGGACGGCTCTGATCTGAAACCCTGGGATATCACAGAAGCAGCTCTTCAAAATCGCCAAGGGTGGAGGTGTCTGAGGGATGAGGGCAGGCAAGGACTAGTAATTCAGGCTGCCAATTCTTGGAGAGAGGCTTTATATAATCACGGAGGGATAGACTGGAAAGAGACCAAGCGGTGACTAACATGCATCAAGACAAATTAAATGGGAAACGTGCACAGTTAGAGACGGTAAAAAGCAAATACTGATGTGGGGAAGAGGGACAGGCAGAAATCTTGTGCTCAAAGGGGCTCTGCTGCCTCTCCGGCAGGGAAGAGAGGCTCAGATAAAGCACAGCTTTGTTAGAAGTTCAGTGTGACTCGTTCTTGCATCTCTATTTTAGCTGGATTTTCAGTATAGGCTCGGTTAGAGAGTAGAGCCTTAATTCTGTAGGCCTGGTATCTAAGTGAAAATAGAGCAAGCTCTATACTTGCTGTAGCAACTTTTGACTTCTCTGCTGCTTGCTGTTCCTTGAAATTGATGGTGGAATTGATGGGCACAGAGACAATTTTTGATGTTAAAACAACTTTAAATTCACCTCTGGGGGAAACTTCACTGAGTTGGCAGTAGTGGCCACATGCCTGCTCCGGCAAGATGCACAGAGCCTTATAGCGCTGAACTTGAAAGGCGCATCCTTTCTGAAAATTTCAAAGGAGGTGAGGACAGCAAGCCGGAGCATTATGCAAATTTAATACTCTATAAGGGTCTGTAACTAGTAAATGAATTAAATTGAATTAAAAATAAAGAACGTGCCAGAGGGTCAGTGCCAGTGACATGTACGCTTTTTGATCGCGGAGGCTTTCACTTCAGCTGCTTTGTTCTTAGTGCGTCTAAATGCCAGTCAGTTTTGCATTACTCGTGCCGTTTCATTTGTTTATAAATGACGTCCTGAAGTTAGTTGATTGACTAAGAAAGCAAGTTAGCGTGGTTTATTCCTCAGTTGTCTTCATTGTATATGGGCTTTATGACCAGATTTTTATAACCCGAAAATGTTTCAGCTGTGCTTTTGTAGAAGCCTGAGGAAAAAAGGAAGTGTGAAACCGATTATAAAAACGCAGATAAATGAGCAGTGTAAATAAAAATGGAGGGAATCAGTATATTGGCTTTTTTCAAACCTGTAGGTGCAGTAATATCCCTTGTCACAATAGTAAGTGAGAAGATTAAGAGGAGAAGAAAAAGATGACACCTTTCTTGTGATGATTAAAAAAAATTGGTCCTTAATTTGTTAACACTGAGATTACATGAATTTTTTTTCCTAAATGCTGCATTGACTTCTGTGTATCGAAAAGGAAGCGCTTTTATTTATTACATTGTATGATGATGCTTTTAAGTCCAAAAAAATAAAATCCCTTGTTTTAGAAGAAGGCAGTGAAAAGCTTCTTGATAAATGAGTGATTAATATTTATTAAAGGGGCAACTAACGGTTTTCAATAAAACACTTGCAGCATGGCTGTGATTGACATACCAAAGCCAGCAAGCGGCAAGGGGAATTGAAATGAATTCAAAACCGTATTGCCAAGACTACTTCTAGGGCTTCGCTGGCAAAGGGAAGCCAGGCTCAATGTGTTACTTTGGCTCTTATGCCTCTGATTTGCAGTATACCTCAAGGAGGAAGTAAAATGATGTATTGCAATGTTTGCTTTCCTATGTTTCTGACC